TATTTTTTGACGATATCTGCGTTGCGCGTGTCTGCATTCGGGTTCGTGGCCCCTATCAGGTTTTGTCTCACAAGTGTGCCGGTCCGAGCTTTACTTCGCCTACAGTACCATCCCACACAAAAGGGCGCCGCGTCCTTCCAAACGCAGGTTGCACATGTCAGGGCCCTTCAGCCCCGGGTGGAGGTTGTCCAGGTCGTCCAGGTCATCGCGAGGCCCTCCGCGAGGCGTTCCGGGCGTCATGACAATGGACAGACCAGCTGCGGTGTGCCAAAGAGCTGCAGGTGACGGAGCAAGACTTCGCAGCTTTGAACCACAGATGCAGGCGCTCTCGGAAGAAGCGCAGAAGAGGAGGGCGGAGAGAGAGAACGAGACCTCGCCGCCTGAGCTTCCGACGAGCGGAGGCCCGGCGCTTCGCGCCGGCAGCGCCTGCAGCGCCGGCAGCACCCGGCAGCACTCGCAGCACCGAGAAGGAAGCCCTGACATCCCCAGGCCCAGCCCAACGGACCCGGATTCCCAGCACTCAGGATTTGTTCTTTGACTTTGTTGCGACTGAAAACTCAGCAGAGCTGTACTGCCTATAAGTAATCAGGATCTACGACACACCCCAGCCAAGCGATGCCGGGAACTCGCCCTTCAGTGCCTGTTTACTTGTCCCAGTCGGGAAATCTGAAACCAACGCGCATCGCGGGCTGGGTCAAGTACCCCTCATCACAATAAGAAGCCATGGCAGTACTTGACCGCTACAACACGGCAAGCCAAGGTTGCAAGCTTGCCGGACCTCACAAGCCAGCCCTGGCCCATCGCGCGCGCGAGCGCACCTCCGCCGGTGGTGGAATCTGCACCTGCGATCGAAGTTTTCCCAGCAAGCAGTCGCCAAGGTCGGCACTGGAAAATCTACTGGCTCTACGAGTCTTATAAAGGCGATCCTCCGCGAGCTTTTCTGCGCTCGAAACAGGTATATGGCAGAGCCGTGGCCGCAGTCGGCACGGCACATCTTTGCTGCGTCCTTTTGCATGATTTGCCCCGAAAGGGCGGAAAGGGCTGGGCCGAGAATGTGATTTGCACAGACTTGCCGTGAAGACCCCCTCAGCTCAGCGGCGGCTTCGGCTTCGGCCGCGGCTGCCACGGCTGCCGCGGCTGCCGCGGCTGCCACTGCGGCTGCGGCGTCTCTCGCGCTCCGGCCTTTCGTTTCGGGCACCGTCTCGGGCACCGTCGCGGGCGTCGCGAGCCCCGTAGCCCCTCCGCTTGGCTGCAGTGACGCGCATGAACTGCCGGGCCACCTGAGTTCGGCGGAGCTCACAGGGCCTATCGCTTCGGCTTCGATGCTTTAAGTGCAGTCGCGGACAGATCTGATCAGAAGCGGAAGGCTGGCAGCCCGAGAAGCCCAGAGAAGAGAAGCCCCCGAGAAGTATAGATGGAAGGGGGGAAGGGACTGGGACTGGAACCCGAAAATGGGCCTAGAACGGCCAGAACACCACAGAAAAACAGGTGGCTCAACTCCCCCTTGTCTTCGGCAGCCGGATCTGCGCGGCGAGGCACTTCCGCCGGATCTTCCGCTTTCGTGAAGTCCCAGTTCTTCCAGCACTTGTCGAAGCCACCTGACCCGACTCAAAAAGGACAGCGGACAGCGGACAGCGGGCCATGGGAAGTCAAATCCGAGAAGCTTCCAGGAGAGCCGTCGTCGAGCTGCATTTTCTCATCTCTCCGCCTTGTCGGGGCCCACTTTCCGGCAGCGCATCGCGAGTTTTTCTGGCTCTTTGCACTCCAAGGCTCGTGGAGGTCCGCGACGTGGGATGACGGAGCTGCCTCGGACGCGGGACTCGGACTTCAGCCCGGCGCTCGCTACTGCGCTCGCTACTGCGCTCGCTTGCAGCTTGGGGCGGCGCTGCTTCTCGCTCCGGGCCTCCTCCTGGGCCGCCTGAGCAAAACCGAAAGCAGATCATCGGAAGCTCGGAAGGGCGCTCCCTCGCGTCCGTCCCTTCATGTCCGGGCCCTCCCAAAGCGCTCTCTCTCTCTCTCTCTCTGCTCCTGTGCCCGCTTGGCTCGCTCGTCCTCCTCCTTCGACGGCGCTCCAAAAGCCGCCAAGCACAAGACACCGCTGAGCTGAAAGTGGCCTTGTCGAAGTCGTCCGCAGACAAGGCGAAGACTCCTCCCAAGTTCTTCCTTCGCTCGCTCTCCTGCTTGCGCTTCGTCTCCTGCAACGTACGTGGCCAAGACCGAAAAGCTCTTGCCCCCGGCCTGCAGTTCATGTCCTGAACCTCCTTCAAGCGCTGCAACTGTCTCCTCTCTTCTTCAATCCTCCGAGCCTGCGAGGGCAAGGGCTGCGAGGGTTTTCAGAACTCTCTTCGGTCTGCACGCACACATGCTTTTGACGTGGATGTACGTCTCAGCCGTGAGACTTCTTAGGGCCTGTTTGGTCTCTGTAAGCAAGCATTTTATGCCAGACCTCGTGCTCAGAGTTCACGTCCAGCGCCGGCAGGGCTCCTTCGTGTGCCTCCTCCGCCGCCTCGTCCTCTTCTTGAGTACGATGGCCCTTGCACACACACACACACACACACACACACACACACACACACACACGCACGCACGCACGCACACACACACACACAACAGAAAGAGTCCTCCTCCTCCTCTCCGTCTCCAGGGCTGTCCTGCTCCGGCCGCACCTGAAGGCGAGCTGCTGACAGGTGGCAGCAGCACGGTCGCAAGCCCTCTCGGCCCTATCGTCTGACTTCCATCTTCGTCACACTACGGATTTCATCGAATTCCAGAGCTCTTCAAACTCAGCCGGCCTGCGTTCTGGAACGTGACTTGCGGGCCGGAGCAGAGCTGGATCGCGATCGCCTCGGGGGGCAGGAAGCTCCCTGGGACCCATCGGCTCAAAGGGCGTCGGCTCTGAGATGAGGACTCGGAGTCCCTCCGCTTCTTCCTCTTCTTGTCCCTCTGCTCCTTCTCCCTCTTCTCGGCACGGACCTGCAGAGCCAGGCTCTGCACTCATCATGTCTCTGCATTCCCAGGTCCTGGCCGGCCTGTGACCCGGGCTTGGACTTCGCCTTGGGCCTCCGTCGGATGACCTGCAAAGAGGGGCCGGCTTGGGGCCCGGGCCCCCCCTGAGAAGCGAAGCTCAGCTCAATGCCGCGCCGCCGGGCACCCCCTTCGCCAAGCCTCGGCCACGAGCATGGCCTCCCTCCCGACGTTGGGGATGAGGTGCGGGCCCTGCGCATGGGAACGATACGCTTTGATACGCTTTTTGCACAGACAGGCGCACACGAGCCAAGCTTTAATAAAATGGTCCAACTAGGCCCTGTCTCCTTTCGGCCTGAGCCGTTGGATGTTCTCTTCAGATCTTCAGCATGCTGGGCTTTCGCTGGCCTGGATGTGGTGAGTCATGCCGCCGGAGCGGGCCCCCTGCACGCCGCCACGGTCACGGTCGCCACGCGTCATGGCCTCAAAGACTGGAACATGGTAGTCCACATGTATGTATGTAGGTATATGATCGTTGTTGGATTTATGGCACACATGTGTATAGTGTATAGATTGGTGCAGGCCTCTTGCAAGCTCTTTCCAACCTGACAGTCGTGGGCTCACACCGAGGTCTCGGCGCCGGACTCCGCGTTTTACATGGCAGGGGCCGCAAGGGAAACACGCTCTACTACTGGATCGTCTTGGCTCCGATCGGCCGCGGGCTGGGGTTTAAGCGTGAAAACATCTGGCTGGTGTTGAGTGGTTTCTGGGCCGGAGCCACCTGCCGGCCCTTGTGCCGTGCCTCTCTCTGCCAAGGGCTCCCGGTCTGCTCCCGTGCCTAAACCATCAGGTTATGTGATAGTCCACCGTTTTGCAAACTGAGCTCATATGAGCGAGAAGCGCTACTGCCACAGCTGAGGCTTCCAAGCTTTGAGCCAGGGTCCAGGGCAAGGCGGTGTCTGCAAATGCATGCCTTGAAGACGACATCATGCTCCATGCTCGTCCTTCCCTGACTCGGAGATAAAGGTCAGGCTGCAGCCTTCTGCCTCAAAGGACCAAGAGCCTGGGGAGCCTTTCGGAGCTTCTGAGTTCTGGTCCCCATCAGAGCGATGCGGAGCGCCTCTTCGACGGAGAGCAGCCGGGAAGAGTCCTGGCTTCGGTCGCTGTCCCTACGGTAAACGATTCTCAACACACAGTGTAAATCCCCCAAAAAGTGTGTAGGCCTGGCTCCTCTCCTTCACGTGAATACTTCAGTCATTGAAGCTGCTTGAAATGACTGTGGGTCAGATACAATCTGCTTCACATTGGGTTGATGGCGAAGTCTCAGTAACATGATAGCTGGCTGGGAACTTGCTCCTCGCCCAAGCAGCTGACTTCGTGATTGGCACACGCACTATCTACTAAGCACGACGTACTTGACGAGTCTGTGAACCACTCTACTGAGCAAATGCTCATCGATAGAGAGTGAACCGTTAGTGAGTTAGTCATGAACTTTAGTTTGCACTCAGCAGATCATGAGCTTCAGAAAGGAGTAGACCTAGCCCTTGTCTCAGGTCGCAACTTGGAAAACTGTGGCCTCTTTGTTCGCGCATGAGCATACAACCAGAGTGCATGGAAAACATATGCCGCAAAGAGATCCATTCGCATCTTGAAGATTTGGTGAGCTGGCGGATCTTGTCCCGACACGCTGCAGCTGCGCGGGATCTCTGTGCTCGGCAAGGGACACAACGTCCGGCTGTTAGCGTTCCAGCACCATCTTGATGCTGTGTGCACGTTAAAGCAGTTAAGGGACTTCCTGCGATAGCCCGTGGAAGGATGCGAAGCTGTGCCGATGCGACACCCCTCGATGCCGAGAGTCAGCGATGCTCTGGCTCATAGAACCAGGGTGGTGTCTGTATAGACGCCCGGCGCCACCGCTTTCTTCTCGCTGCTGGCATTCTTGATCGTCACCTCTAGAACTTGACTTGCAGGAAGACTTGGTGTGGCTTCTGCGGCTCGGAAGACTTGGTCAGACAAGACAAACGCTTCCGCGTATCAACCTCTTAGTCTTTACTTAGGCCGACTGAGCTCACAGCTTCTCCAACGATCGTGACACCGGGCGAGAACCTGAAAAACTGAGCGCTATTGATTGAATGCTCGCGGTAGCTGACTTCTCACGAAAGTTGTCCATAGCCAAGGCACACAATGGGACCCTCAATGACCAGCTTCTTGCAGTCAATGAGGGATGGTGGTCCGTTGGGAATCATGGCGTCCATGGCATCAACAAACCTGCAGACAAGACTCGCAGTGGCCCTTCTCCGGAGGCAACCGGCTACCGACTGAAGCGGTCGTGGCTGCAACAGCACAAATGTAACAAGAAGTTCTGCAGAGTCTTGCCGAGCTGCTTGTAGGAACCATCCTGAGTTCGGCATCACGGCTACCCCACACCGCAGCCGCAGTCGCAGCTAGCGGGACGCGGATGGACGTGGCATTCTCTCAGACTAGCTCTGCACCTTAGGCGCCTTGGAACGAGTTTTCTATAAGGCTACCCTACTGTAGTCACCCGTTGGGCCGGGAGCACCGTCTATCCGCGGACAGGTCTCAAGCTTCACGTTGGGAGGCACGCCGCTCCTCTTGGGATCCAGCTCGATGCCTCGGCTAAGAGGCAAAGGCACAAAGGCAGTGAAAGGTCTCGGCAAACTGAAGGGTCCCCCAAAACCCGTCCCTAGGCCGAGCTTCGGGAGTCCGGCGTCAGCAAGTACGCGTCGGATCGAAGAGCGAGCAGGTCGTTCGTCGTCTTCACCTGCGTGCGTTCATGTGCGTTCCTATGCGGTCGGCGGCTGCCCGCAGCCCAGGGCTACGATCTTCGGCATCCAAGTCACCGGAGCAAAGCGGGAACGAGGGATCACCACCGCAGTGGCACCCGGGAAGCAGGAGATGGCGGCGCCCATTGCAGTTTCCAGCTGCAGAACCTCGCGCTGTTCTCACCGAAGCTAGAGCTCATGTCATAAGACTTCGCTTGCTGTGACCTGCCTTCGTCGACTTCTTGTCACGAGGGTCTACGGTCTTGCTGTTCCTTGGCTCCGAAACCGCCCCCCCAGAGTGCTACAGGTAGCTGGGCGATGGAAGCGAAACTGGGGCCCACGCTTCATGACCGGCAGCTGAAGTGCGCCACCACTCTTTCGGAACTGGTCGGCCAACGCTTCCAAGTCCACCCAAAGGTTGTTGGTGTTGAAAAACCTCAGACTCAGGCCTCTCCCTTTCTCTTCACTTGACTGGTGGCAACTCGTCTTTGTCCCTTTTGTCTCGGGTGCTCCCTTCAAGCCATTTTGAGACGAGCAGCTTGTACTTGGCCACATTTTGGAACTCCTGCGTACAGCACTTGCCGAGCCCTCAGAGAAACTCGGCGGTTTGTCTAGAGCCTAGAGCCCACCTTCTCATCCTCGTCCGGGCACTGCGCAGTCTCCCTCAGGAGCAAGCCTCCGGTCCTCGGTTGAAGAGCTCTCAAGAGCTCTCTGGCTCTCGATTGCGCCTCCTACAGTATTGCGCTGCCAAGCGCTTCTATAAGCTCCTCCTTTTTCACTGAAAGCCCGAGGCTCTTGTTGTCCTTCGCCAGGTGCCCGCCCTTCTTGTCAGCATCCTGAGCCCAGGAAACTCGGGTCTGTTCTCGAAGGGCCTTCAGAAGGGGCAACAGAAAGAGACAGAGACAGAGACAGAGACAGACGGCCCCCTCTCCCTTTTAACGCAGCAAAGGGGCCGTTCGGGTGGCCACCTCCATCATGAAGGGCGCCTTGCTGCCGGCGAAGTAGGTCAGCAGCTTCAGGTCCTAGGCTCCAAGGCTTTGAGACGCGGAAGGGCCGGGGCCCGGGGGGGCCGTCGGTGCCTTCTACTTCTATCACCATCGGCGACGGCCATGACACTTCGACTCTCACTTCTTCCCCTCCGGGCAGTCTCTGCCTTCCAAAGAAGCTTTCAGCGTCATTCTCTTCGAGTAGAAACGTAGAGTACGATCAAAAACAAGAGAGATCCACGGGCAGCGCAGCTCTCTGCGCCCGGGCCGAGGGGCCAAGGTGGCTCCGAGGTTGTCGGAGTTGGAGACCTCGGCGCTCGGAGCGAAGCGAAGGGATCAGTCAGCGCCTTCTCTCAGTCACTTTCAGTCATCTCTTGTGATTTTGGCCACGGCAACTCAAGTTTCTTGCGACGGGGCCAGAGAGCGGGGCGGCTCTGAAGGAGCTTGAGGCGGACAAGCGGCGAACATGTACTTGAACCCCTGCATCAGCAGCCGGTCCAAGGTCCCGCTGCCCAGCATGGCCGGGTAGAGGTCCCCGTGTCCGGGAGGGCACCACTCCTGAGTGTTCCACTTGGAGCTGCAGCCGCAGCCGCAGCCGAGGCCCGCCGCCACTTTCGCCCCTTAACCGCCCCTTCCTGCCGCCTCGGCGCGCTCTCCGGGCTCGCTGCCCAGCTGGCGGGCCGCAAGTCCTCGCGGCGCGCGGCGCTTCGGGCGCTTCCCTCCCGATTGGCCCTCCCTCCGGGCCCCTTTCTCCTCCTCGGTGACCTTCGGGGCCTTGTTCTGCACGAACTCCAGGTCACTGCCTCGCAGCTCGCAGCTGGCGGCTCGCAAAGGCGACTTGCTTCAGCCGCATCTCCCCGCATCTCCCTCCGAAACTCCCGGGCCTGTGCCCAAGGAGGGATACTTGGCCAGCGCCTCCAAGGTGTCTTCGGAGGTCGAGAAGGAGTTCATCAGCATGAACTTCACCTCAGATCTCAGAAAAAAGCTCGCGACGTGGCGGTGTCTGGTGCGTGGTGTGCTGGCGGTGTGAGCGACGGCCGTAGCATCACATCGTGATCCCAAAGGTGGGGATGTCTTGATGTGATGGTGCCATGAGGACGCGGAGATGGCCCAATTCGAATACGACACTAACAGCAGAAACTTGGCATTCATGGCTACACAGACGAAGATGAGCCTGGTACGTCGCTGGAAAGAAGGCTCCTGCCACCGTGAGCCTACTTGCAGTCCCAGGAGCATTCGTGCCGAATCCATCCTGCACGCTGCCGGGAAAGTCGGTTTTTCCGTGGTGGCGGTTGGAATTGTTTCAGGAAACATCAGCAACAGTCAGACTTGAATTTCAAGATCGAATCGCACAACTCCTTATGCTTCTCAGGACCATCAACCCTGCCTTCATGGACTCCACCTGCTGCGCGATGAGGTCCTGCTGAGCTTCGCATCAGAGCTGGATGTATCCATGTATGCATGCGTATGCCTAGGGTTGCGTGCTAGCTCGTAGGCAGTTCATCCGCTCCTCCGCATACACTCTTGATACCGTGTGCGCATAACATTGCAGTGGATACAGATGCTTGCTTACAAGGCCTACACATCTGATTACTTACTTGTTCAGACTTCATGACATATGCCAAGCCCACTCCTGCGCTCCGCATACATTCTTATGATACCATGTGCGCATCACATAGCCGTAGATACGCTGCTGCATGCTGCATGCTTACGAGGCTTACACATCTGATTCTTGTTCATAATGACGCCAAACCCACTCCAGAAAGGTGAGGCCCTGCTTCACCGGCAGCAGAGACTTTGCTTTCTCCAAGCCCATGCCGGTGCCCAGGCCACCATTCAGCTTCAGGACCACCTCGGCAAAACGGGGCGCTCAGGGTGTAGACTTGGTTATAGAACAATACCGACATACAATAGGGGGAGGTTCTGCGGTCGATAGAAGCTGATCAGAGTCACGCCCGTTTCTTTGGAACTCCTGCCGCCGAGGTGCCGTCCGCCTCGCAAAAGGGGTCTAAACAACCCAGTAATACTCGATACTATAGCGGATTTGCGACAACTCAGGTTGTCAAACATGGGTGTCAAGGGCCTCAGCAGCGAAGAGTCCTCGGTAACGTTCAAGGACTCGTAGCTGGGGAGGGAGTCAACCGGGCTGATCGAGCTCTCCGGGATCATCGTGTCTTGACCAGACGTCAGAACGGAGTAGTTGTACTTGAAGGCAGCAATCGCTGCATCGTTGAGGCCTTCCTTCTTCATCTTGGCTTCGTAAAGGGGCCACAACTGCCCCATCTTGCCTCCACCACCCGTCGCGGCTGTCGACGGCATGGATGCCTTGGTCACAATCGGTTGCGCCACAAATGGCTGAGTAGTGGTTCCGGTCATGGTTGGGGTGATGCCGATGCTGGTGGCTGGGGCCAAAAGAGGGGCGGCATAAACCGCTCCCGGCAGACTCTGTGGGGATACCGACGTGGATGTGGCAGTGGCCACTCGAGGAGGCAGTGCCGTGGGCAGTGCCGGCTGCACTGCCGGCAGGGCTGTTGCTAGGGCTGCGGGCTGCGCTGCGGGCGCAGCCCCGGTGCCTGGCACAACTCCATAATGAGACGTCAACGTCCCGTCGGGATGCTTGATGTAGTACTTCTGCATCGGGAATTCCAGCTGGCAAAATCTGGAGCCGATATGCGCTGGCACTCTCAGGGACTGGACTGCTCCAGGAATCGGCTGCGACGTGCTGCAACTTTGCGAGCATTGCAATGACTCTTCCCAAGCAGAATCCCTCGCCAGGCCTGCAAACGCTCGCCGTGCCTGTGGAGAACAAGCGATGCCCTTTGTCTCCGGCGAAACAAGAGACAGCACAGAGCAGTGAAGATCTTCATAAGGAGCAAAATGGCAGTCTCACCAGCCCTAGGAAGTCTTGTAGTAACTGACATGTAGCGAGTCCACAAAAAGGGCGCAAGCAATGCGGAAGAGTTTGAGGGCTTCTCTGAATGTGGACGTGTTGTTTGCCTCCACACAAAAGGGACTTTCCAGGATCCAAGTTTTCCGGCTACTGAAGTCCGGTGTAAGCTTTGCAGCTGGCTTCACTCCGTTTGGGGTTTCGGCTTCCGTCGAGGCTTTCGAGTTGGCTGTTTCTACTCGTTCTCGGCTTCTGGTTGAGGGTTGCCGGTTGCTCGGCTAGCCGGCTGCTGATGCAAGGCTTGGAATTTTCAGTTCACTGCTTTTTGCTGGGTTCACTCCCTGATCTCGTTACGGCTTCCGGGGTAACAGTTCCGCGTGGGGGTTTAGGGCGGGTGGCGCTGTCACACCAATAATCATCGGATTCTGTGGATCTACATCACCGGACAGTACAGATTCTTGAATGTCGCAAAGTATGGGGCCAAAAGCCGAAACAGAGGATGGGGGCACAGGTAAGGTCGCTTTCAGGCGCAGATGCGAGGCCCCAAGCAGGGGTACGGGTGAGGAGTGAACCGGACAGAGGAAAGTGTGTCTGCAAGAACGGGCACGCAAGCTCATAAGCCAGTGTGCCTGTGACATCTTGCTCGAACTCCTCTTCGCTTCCACAAAGGTCAGGAATGCATACGCAGACGAAATCTACGGTGCAGTCTAGAAACTTGTGAGTCCCGATCAGCCAGCGCTTTTGATGGAAGAGGCGGTGCAAAGCACTAAATGACAAAAGACGGAAGACAAGAAAGCTAGGGGGAGCTGACAGCAGCAAAGGGCGAAAATATTCGAGAAGCAAAGCTGGCAGCTCGGGCCGGGAGCCTCAGGGGCCGTTTGCGGGCGCGTTTCCCGCTCTCCGGCCCTATAAGCCTGAAATCAAGGCGTCGAATCGCAGAATCGCGTTCAGAAGGTCAGCTCCAGGCTCTCCACATCTCTCCACATCCCAATCCAGCTCATGCGGGCCTCATTGCCCACAGGTCATCTGAGGCTGGGGGCGCTGGCGAGAGCCCTTGGAGAACTTGGCTCTCCTCGCTTGCCGCAACTTCGAAACGCTCCTTCGCCCTTTGCGAGGGCCAGGGACACAACCATATGTCAGTCCTTCCAGCGCAGAGGTGCCGATGATCGAGCCTTCACGCTTCAAGGCAGAAAGCACGGAAGGAGCACCGGCGGAGACGGTGGCTGAGACCCAGGCCACCCGCGTCTAGGCACGAAGGCTCAGGCTGGCTTGATTCGGATCAGCAAGCAGAAGCAAGAGCCTGCCAGGTGTGAGCTGCTGCCACAGATTGCTTCGGCATCAGCAGCCCAGGTTCCCCGAGTGTAGTCATGGAACGTTGTGTAGAGGTCGACTGCAGCAGACGCACGGCGCATGCTCTGCCGCTTTTCCCTGAACCAAGAGACCCTATAGACTCAAACCTGCGTCATCCTGCGCCTTTCACTTCGCTTCCCCCCCCCCCCCCCCCCCC